GTGCCATTGGAACATTGGAAAGGCGCTGTTCACATTAAACTATAACATGAAACATATATAAAGCTGATTATTATCCGTACTGTTCATATATTAAAGTGCAAATTTATACAGGATAGGAATTCAAGAGAATCTATAGACTTCTCTTYGTTGGGTTCATTATCGACCGATGTCGAAGCTTTAAAGAGTTGCCGAAGTCGACCCTAAGAAAACCGCTTGTAAAATCTGATTCTGCGAAGCATAAGCAAGGCAAGCCTTTTCGATCAGTTAATGTATCATGTCATAAAACTAGAGAATAWATTAAAGCTTGCATGTGTGCGAAAAGTATTGAAATTTGAGTACGTTTCCCTAAAGCCAAATTCAATGAAAATTGATGATACGAACATTGCAATTTCCATTGTCTTTCTCACCACCGCCTTAGTGTGAACTCTTCGAATAGTCATTCGAGAACTTTCGTCGTTTSTCGACATTAAATWGAGAGAGTTGGAGCAAGCCTCAATCATCTAAGGCTGCAAAATTATAACTTTATACRTCACATAAGCGCACGAATGTAATTACTTATAACAATTTATTGAACTCCAGGCTGCCWGATAACTAATTATTGCGTGCAGACAGCTATCTTTTCAATAAATGATTGTCTGCACAGAGACAAAATGAACATATCACGCTACGGTTTTAAAGATAAAACAAGCGTCAAGTGTAMAATGTGAATTTAKAACAAGAATATAAAAATATTTTTTACCACACCTGTGTTTTCTTTCAATTCTCGCGCGCTGATTGGTTGATTAGAATGTGTCAATAAGAGGACATGCGCACTGTGCTGACACCATCACGTCTCGCGCGCACTCATTTGAAAGAAAAGAATTATTTTCGCTAATTTTTAGACTGAAAATGTGGTAAAAAACAAATTACACACGTTTTTTCGTTGTATGTCCTCTTGTTTACACACTCTTGACGTCATAAAATGTTCAAAACTTTACAGTGAGCCCACTCGCTGCTCTCGTGGTTCCACTTGAGTTTTGAACATTTTATGACGTCAAGAGTGTGTTAATAAGAGGACATACAACTCAAAACCGTGCGCAATTTGTTAAAGATATTTTATTGTTCACGAGAAGACGTAGTTATTCACTAAATCTGCTAGGGAATCCGATATCTTCTGATGTGTTCGTTATAAGATATTCGGATTTCAATGTAATTGTGTGGTGTATAACTTTTTTGTTGTTTGCCATCTCGTATACATATTTCATTCATTTTTCACGGATGTTTCCAATTGAACGGTCAGTTTTGAGGCAAAAATATTTCCCACAAAGTCACAATATAATAAAACTAAAAATACTATCTATTTTGACAGTATTATGAACAGAGTAAAATAGTAATCAAAATATATATCCAGCTCTAGTATGGACTATCACAAATCCAACTACTGAACAGTAGTTTCTAGACCATGTTCCTCGTCGCATGAGGCGAAGATAATTGAAAAAATTGAAAACGTCGAGAAAATGTTCTTTATAGTCCTCTTTTTTCAAATTTGCCCTAAAGTTTGTTGGTTACCGAAACAATTAGACCACTTGGTTGGCTGAGTACGGACTCGACCTTGTGACCTCATTGTTAAATATTCCAACTTCCAATACTAATGATAGTGATAATTAAAGTGGATAATGCTGAATAAAATTGTTCAATTATAATATAGAGCTCCATTAAATAGTATTTTTCTAGTAATACTTTTTATCGTATAATCATTATTATGCAATACCTATATTAGTCTCCATTTCGTAAAGTAACACATTCGCGGTTTCTCCATGTAATGAAAGTGAGAAAAAAGGTATTCTACGACATAATTTCCTTTCATGTAATTATATGATACACACAATATTACATGGTCGCTTGGAGATACGAATTTTATCTTATCGTGTTGAAAATCTCTTAGATACGCCCACTCGTGAGATCTTCCTAACACTCGAAGATAAAATCCGTATCTCCGCGCGCCCATATGATATCCTCTATATATCTCTTTACGGCATAAGGCGAAATACTTCATAAGGGACACTAAAAACCTATTATTATAAAGGTGTGGCATTCCATTAAAAACGTATTATACTCTCAACGCTATACTGCATTAAGAGAAGTATTCATAATTGACTTTTCTTGGCATGTCATCTCAAGTGCCGATTCGCATGCTGCTTTGTTRGAGTTACCCCACCTGCTCTGTTAGAACACCCTAACTATAGTGAAACAACAGGAACTTTCACTGTCAATGCGCTACGCTGAAACATGGCAGAGGTGTGTTGTGAAGTCTTTAATATGACATTTCTAACACAGTACAATAGTCCCGGTGTAATAGCATCTATCTACGTCGTGTATACCGCATTTGGAATCGTTGGAACCTTTCTGAATTTCCTTATCATATACACTATATGGAAGATTCCTTCATTACATAAGCCTTCCTATGTGTTACTGGCTAGTCTTGCTCTTAGTGATTTGGTGGCTGGGCTTGTTGTGGACCCGTTATACGCTGTAACCAATGTGACTGCATTGGAAAGGAGATTTAGAGTSTTTTGCGAGACATACATTGCGGGTCGATTGATAGGTTATTGTCTTGGAGCGGTATCGCTTTTTAGTCTTACAGTTATTAGCATCGATCGACTTCTTGCTATCAAGTTGAAAAAGAAATATCGAACAGCGGTGACCTTAAAGARGGTTACAATAATTCTTATTCTTGGATGGGTTGCATCAAGTMTYTCATTYCTTGTGATTGCTGTCAAACTTTCTTCTATTTCTCTTCGGATGCTAATAATAATAGCACTAATTGCCATTTTCATGATGYTGGCACCTATCACCGTGGCGTACACAATGGCATTTTATTTCCTAAACCACCTCACTAAAGTATCACCAAGCAATGTACCAAATATTAGACAAGAACAGACTAGCACKTTCAATGCATCCAAATATCGAAGATCACTGAAAACAATGGTAATTGTCTTCTTGACGATAATTGTATGTTATTCGAGTATATTCTGGTGCTCCTTGGCGGCCTTATTACTACTGAGAAAATACCCTAACAATTCAATAGTTTACAAAAATATTTATATTATATTGACAACTGGTGAAACTATTGTACTCTTCAACTCGACAATAAATCCTTTAATTTATCTTTGGCGAATGAAAGACCTTTATGACGGAGTGAAGAAAGTTATTAAGGGGTTATATAGATGTACTGGGCCAGGACTTGTCAAAGAAATTCAACTTGCCGAAACAAAAAGGCCATCAGAAAATACATTTTCAAATACTTGACTGAATTATTTGTTGAAGAAGCTGGGAAGAATTCAGGAAAATAATGTCTTCCATAAAAAATTAATAAAGATAAACGAATTTGAAAACCAAGAAGTTGCGAAATAAGCAATAACTTTAACATATTCATGAAACTGTAATCGCGAACTCATTCAGCAGGCAATGGTSGTTGTGTAGGCGAACAGTGGGGTACATTCATATCAGTGATGWCGAACTCCGGGAGATTTGTAATAACTACCTTAGTGTGATCTGAAAATAATGGRAAAACGATTCTCCAGGTAATTTAAAAATATCAAACACTGCAGATGTGAATTCTTAAAAAAATGATGAGAGCTTAATTTCCATATTATGTATTTTCACAAGAACAAGCGTGAAGTAAAGCATGAAATCACAAATAGGTGTAGCTACGATATCAAAAAAAGATATTGGAGAGAACTTATTTAGTCAAAAACGTGGACAAATAATGCTTACATTATCATATCTGATCAAAGACCGCGGATTTAACATGTACAAAATGGTCCATATACAGCAATATGAAGAAATTATTGTCATTTTGACTCATATTCCAAGTAAATATAAAATATATAAGAAATCATCGGATATCATCGCCAATATTATATATTTTTGAAAGTGCTAGTGATAGACAACTTCAAAAATTATATTCGTGATAATATCCCATAATTTCTGATATATTTTATATATACTTGGAATATGAGTCAAAATGATCATAATTTCTCCATATTGCTGTATACTACCCGCGTATTATATATCACCTGGAGAACAACTCCATTAAATTAACCAGACATAGACGTAGTTTGTACAAAATAGTTTTATTTCTTTCCCTCTCAGTGTTAAATTTCAAGCAGACTTCTCTACAAAGCCTTTAAAAGGCAATACACTAAACCAGTCTGGCTATATGTATAAAATAGTTTGTACAGCCATACTTACGAAACGGTTCGATCAAAAGAACTATGCCTAGGGATTTCAGTTCAGAAATAAATAAAATGCCTACAAAAATACTTCCCTGGATTGAAAATTGCTTGATTTACTGGGTAAAATTAAGAAGACGGCTCATTTCAAACGGTGTTGTTACGGAAAGAGTACACAAAACGACCGCAAGTAGACCTGGGAAATGGGCATTGGTTATGGAGAGGGCACTCATATATGTATATATATTAACTGTGCAGCGAGTAATTATTATTATTAATGGTTTCCTAAAGTGGCTCAAATAACTGCAAACCTCCTGCAATTGTGTACTCTTAAAGTAAAAACAATTTGTCTGAAAAGAGCATATTTTTAATGCACTTCAAAAAATTTCTTTAGGCGATGGAAAGGATTGTTTTTGCCTCGATAAAATGCATTAGTTTATCCGTGTAAGGTTTTTTCATAAACTGATGGAGTCTTCTTAATATAAATGACCAGGACTAATCTTCAAATTCTACAAGTATTTCATAATGTTTAAATTAATATAAAAATATCTAGCATTTGGAAACTGTATTCCCAAATACTTTACAACCAAAAAAATAATGGACTCAAAGCGTAATCTAAAGCCCCCGGTAGTTCCTAAATTTGAAATAATATCTAGGGTTATTTTTTTTTGTTTTCTCTGGCTTGTTGTTTTTATCTAAACCAATCGTTTCAATAGAAAAGAAGTGTTATGGTGCATAAACCTCGGTTTAGGCGCAATATTGTCTCAAATTACATGTCATTGAGTTAGAAAGAGTATCATTCATCAAAAGGTTCATCTTTAAAGATACGAGCTTGTATAACCAATTGGACAACGTTGTCGTCTCAAAACAGGATAAACGATTGGATTTACGACCAAAGGGGAGAAAGGAAATGCCAATAATAAAGATAGATGCTTTTAACTGTGATTCGATTCCGGCTCACGATCTTCAATAAATGATCATCCCTTCTCTACAAGAAATTTTAATGCAGACATCTTGGCCGGTTGTACAGGAAGAGTTGATCCAATTGATCGTCCAATAAAATTCTTCCTTAACCCGTAGAATACACTATGAAATACACAAATCGCTATTCTGCACCTTTTGTTTTGCTTTTGCTACTTTATCCCTTATTATTTCACACTGATGACTCTTGTTTCACGGGTTAATGACAATCACTCTACAACCCAATGGATAATGTCTATTCCGAGGACTGGGCTGTACACCCTCTGTACAAACGACCACTGTTGAAATCAAATTTCTAACTACCTAAAATTTCCTTTAAAAATAGCTTTGATTTGATGTAAGCCGACAGCATTTTTCACTGTAAGCTATACATAACTTTTTCATAGGAATCAAAATGAAATATTGCGCCCAAACCGATGAGATTTTGCGGAATGTTTTCTACATCAAATGCGCCAACACGACCGCAATATCTTACATGAAGACACATTTCGGTCGTATGGTCGCTATAGTGGTGACTGCTTGGCTGAAACTCAAAAGATAAATAAACTAGCTACTACTAAATACAATTTCAATGTGAATATCTTTATCATCAAATTGGGTTGTTTGAGCCAAGTAGTCACKTTYTGACGACWAGTCAAATACATGTGATTTTTTATGATACAATGGAGGTTTTACGCCAGTATAATCAACCTTATAAGGAGCTCAGCAGGATCAATGTGGTGTGGTGCTTAGACAGCTAGAAGCCTTTTATTTACATTATAAGTGAAGACTGCTTTATATTCGATTTCCAGCTGACTCAACTAAAAAAAATCACACACAAAAATCATCCAAATTCGGGAAAGGCCTATAGAAGAGCATAGTTTCACACTCTGAATCTATTGTTTTCTTTTGCTCTTTACAAACAAATACCAACTAAGACTCCGTTTACATGAGATAGGGTGCCCATAGGGGTAGGGCCAAACTCCTTTGTTTTAAATTCTCCAGGGAAAAGAAAGCAAAAGAGTTGGCCCTACCACGTAAGGGCACCCTATCTCATGTAAACAGTGTCTAAATAGTTATTTTCATGGCACGGGCGAATAAAAACGACTCTTTAAGCGTTCAAGCACTGGTTGAAAAAGGTTTATCAAATATAAAACCGTCCACTTCAAGAAACAAGTATTAAATAATGGTTCTGTAATAATTTAGATTGAGTCTTGATGAGCTATAATAAAGTTGACTTTACTGGATGAACCAATTAAAATAATTAATCGTTCGTAATGTACAATATATAGCGGTTTACACCGATTTCAAAAACATTGTCGTCAAAAAAGTTAAGCACAGCAATAATCTCCTAAGGTGATCTGGGAAGTGTCAATTCATCGTGCGTTCCTTAAATAGATTATTTAAGTCTGATTAAACATCTGAGAAAATYCATGCCATTATTATTACTGGACTGGCAAATGCCTTAACGYTAACACCTCCCACGATTCCTTTGRGTCTTACTGCGTAGATTTGGGACAACAAATATTTTTAAAAAGGTGTAAAATTTAAGCTTTTCTATTTTGGTCAATTTAGTGATAATATACCATATATCATCTTGATGACCTTACAAATTGTTTCATAGCAAAAAGTAATAAATTGAATTTTGAAATATTGACAATTCTTTTTTTTTATGAAGCTAAATGCTTTTTTCAAATTTGTTATAAAATTGTATTAATTGCTGAAAAATTTAATTCATTTTTGGATATTAAAATGTGTCCCTTTGAATGGGCTTCGCGATATTATGAATGCAAAATATTGCTGTTGATATACATTAGACTATTAAATTACTAAATTCTATTTCTCTATTAAATCTATGTTCTACAAAACTACAACACTAGATATTATTTACGTATTCTACTTTGAAAGCAGTGTAATGTGCAAAGATTTCTTTCTCGATAATGATGAATAAAACAACAGCATGACCAAACATAGCTACATGATCACTGACGACCGATTTCCATAGATAAGAAAGACCTTTGATTAAATTATACAGAAGATCGCACAAACAAACAAACACGCAAGCACAGAAAACACTAAGACTAATACCAACAACCAAAAATAACAACAACCACCGACCAATAAATCAATCAAAAAAATTCTTAGAATTTTTTTTCAAAAAGCAAAACAAAAATAACTTAAAACAACTCAAGACAAAAAGAAAAGTAGTTTCTCTTTACTATGGTTGTCAGTTAACGTTATGTGACCAACGGAGTTTTATAAAACTGTTGCTCTTATTCATACTTCGGACAAAATTTAAACGAATTCTATTAATAAAAATGGGCACAATAAAAAAAATATAAAGTGGCGTGATTATATATTACTATGAAGCCAAAATAAATAAACAATTGATGCTATTATCAATAGCGAAGTTGCCATCAATTGTTATAAAATATGCTGTACTATAATGGCAAATAAAACCCATGCCTTTGTCCTACCAAATATTTTCAAATTATTTCCATTGAATCCTTTACCGATCCAAGATGAAGTCTTGCCTGAATTTTGAGGCTCCGAAACGTTAGCGATCTCCCTTTGCTGAGCTTGGATCCAACTGATATTGCACATTGCACGGCTATATGTCGTTCACAAGCGCATTTGTAATTGGAACCAACGAATCGTAGTCGGACCAAGAGGTTTGTCGAACAATCAAATGTTCGTAATAAACATATACATCCATTCTATAAAACTGTGTTCCAATCTAGTATAAAACCATTACCAAACCAATATCATTTTCGTTAAATTCACGAAGAAGACAAGTTCCAATAAAGCTTCCAAGAATTCGACTAAGATCAAAGGTCTGTTATAACAATACAATTATCTGGCATACTTTTTAGACCTTCTCTCCAAAAATGAGACGGTYTGTCACTATCCGAATCGTCGTCACTCTTCAACACCGAAGTTTCTGAATCTGCCTTTTCTCCTTCTTCGTCCGAACTTAAAGTTGCCTCAAGCTCGTTTAAAAGTCTTTCAGCAGCTTCGTTTAACCGTTCGGTCGAAACATCAAAAGCCTCAGCAATTTCCTGCTCTACAACACGGACCATAGTATCATCATCGTCCAGTCCCTCCTCGACTAACGCTCTCCCTACAGCTTCATAAGCACTGGAAGACTTTTCCCTGTTAAGATTGTCTTGCTGTAGTTCTTGAGAAGGAGTTCGAGGAGATAGTATCTCGCTTTTGCTACGCTCGCGAGTTTCGAGCGAAGTGTCTGTATTTACGTTTCCATTTGCGGTTACAGTCAAAGGAAAACTTCTTGCACCTGGAAGTTTAATTTCGCGCATTTTTAGTTGGGAATGAAAGTGAATCAGGGGAAGTGCGTACGAGATTCGTAGAAGCCCAACAAATCCAGCGTTACATGACCATAATGGGTGTACAACAACGCGTGCAAATGTGGAACAGAAGACAGCTACGGAAAATGTTTTGAGCTGTCAAATACCATTAATGAGGTGACCGAGACGTAGCGAGAGCTAAAGCTTCATCATTTAGCTTCATATTATCAAGCCATTTAATCTCCCTTCTTCTACGTTCACTCTAATGAGTTGCATTAAAATTATGAACACTTACTGTGACCACCCTTCTGAGGATTAATATTTGCAGAGTTTTAGCTTGTTATAAGTTGATGAATTGTTATATTGAGTAAAGATTGCTGAAATATTATGTGTTTAAAAGGGATAAAACAGACCTTTTAGAGGTTGATGTTCTGGAACGAATAATCGCTTATCTTCTGAGTCACTGTCATCACTATGGAGAGGYACCAGTACTTGTCTCTCACGTGGCGCCTAGAATAATCAATACAGTTCATATATTTGGGAATATACATATTATAACAGTCATTATCATATTATTATTATTGTACACTRTAAGGAATACTGGTTCATAAATTGAAGTGCATATGAAACGAAGCATTTAGAGAAGAAAAATATATGTCTCTCCTCGCTGGGAACGAGCCAAATAATAACCTATCGAGGCTGTATAAAGTTTCGCTTAGCCATCTTCGAAATAGAAAGAGTTTGAGTCATATGCACTTTAGGATAGGAACAAAAGATGTTTGTACTGAATCTAAACTACAATGCAATGTGATGGCTYAGATGAAAGTGATGTGAATGAAATTGCTATGTTGGTTTGAATTGCTGCTACTTCAGATTGCAGTCAAAGTGTTTTATTCGGATTCGTTTTCCTAGTCCTYCTAATTGACAAAGACCGAAACTGGAATATCTTTATATTATTCTACATTTTTTATGCTTTCTTGAAAATAAGAAACAAGCAGGAAGACATGCAGAGAGATAAAACAACAAGACTAACGAACCTTTTGAACACTCAGTGTTGCCGGCAAAGATATCTTTCTTGTAGTCTCCGGGGTATTGTTGTTACTCTTTTTGATGAACGCTGAAAGACGAACTGAACCAGGACGACGAAAACTAAAAATAGGAAAATGTAGTCAACAATTCGTCCTAATTACGGAGACCTGTATTTCACGAAACGGTCTTTTCTCGAAAGCGACTCCATCGTTCTCACTAGAACACATACCTGTTGGGTCTACTATGTCGTGGTGAGGGTGTCACGGCATTTTTCAGACTTTCCCAGAACCGCTTATGCTACGACAAACGATCAAAATAAACCATATGAAAAAACAAGATATAATATACGTTCTAGACCAAATCATCACGGCTTACGATAAATACTATATTCCAACGTCCGGCATTAGTACCGAATACTTCAATATATAAAACTTTAATTTTTAAATCCCTAGCGAAAAATCTATATTCTTCACACGTTAAGATCACACTTCAACATATTTTTTGAAATAAATGTAGACAAAGAAATTATGCGTTATTTTGTTTTATCCAGTCCTCTTCTCGTTTAGAACATCGCAAATAGGCAACGTGTGCCGACGCCATTTTCCAAAACAAAGCATGAACGGAGGTGAAGTCGTCGCAAGTTTTCATATCCGTTGAAAACCTAAGCCGTTATTCCTTTTTCTTTGCAGAAATTGTTACGTTTCTACAAAGAAAACATAAAAGCGGCCTTTAGGAGATATTTAAGAGCCCATAAAAAGTGCAAGGACCACAACTCCCATCTTGATTTGTAGTATAAAATGGCTGCACATTGCCTATTTATTATTGATGGCGGCAATGGATGTCTATGCATTTGTCTGCGTTAAGATCTTGAATTGTGGTTTGTCCATGTTTTCAATAAGATGAGTGGATGTTAACCTTCAAATCTTGAATACCAATAATGACTTTCCCTCCGACCATCTTTCGTGAAATAGCTATAAACATGATTCAGCATCATTTGACTTTACCTGTGATTTTTGCTGTGCGTCTTCCTTCAAAAATAGCTCTTCATCGTCATTGTCCAACTGGCCTGAAATTGCTCTCCTYAGTTGAGGACCAAGACCATGCAGAGTACGGAGACCAGCCTACAGTTAGGGATTAGCAAACGCTTGTATGGCACCCAGATGACTATCAATTGACATACTAGAGAGCTTAAGCATGACGTCCACGCCAAACGGCAGAAAAGATCACGTGACCACCTTTTTGGGGGTTTACAGTAAACGTTTCAACGCGAGAGTTGGTTATTTTGGGTTTGCCATAATCGTGAAAAGTCGCTCTTTCCAATGACTACCAAAAGCACAAGGTCAGGCACGAAATTCTTAGGTCATTGGTTCAGCTCTGCCGTAGCCGTTTACCGTAAAAAAAGTTTGCTTAAACTCTCTACTATATCAGTTTCCAGTGCTTGCTAATTTGCAAGGTAAGGGTTACTGTTTAAGTGATCATMGAAGAATGTGAGGAACTAAGCAATACAATTTTGAGTTACCTGCAAAGCTTGTGTCGTATGTCCCTCTCTACCTTGCAAGTTTTCAGCGCGTTGTCTAGCTTTAAAGCGCCTGAAGTAGTCCTGGATGAGATATGTGGCATAAAACTTGCCGACTGTCACCTCGTCGTCTATTCACAAAAAAACATGTATTAAAAACATTGGCTTGATAAACGAGCTGATCGAGTCCTGCTTAGAGGCCTACCACTTCTTCCAGCAAGCAGATGCATGTTTGAGAAAACCAGAATCGACCACAAGTTATTGCACATTTAACCCCCTTGGCGTTTGAGCAAAGTATATCAGATTCAGACACTTGTCTTAAGGACACAACAATATATATGCAAAGCATGTATGTCATACGTATAACAAGTGAGATCTTTATTGCCAAAATAATAAGATCAAATCAATGGCGTTTTTCTAAGAGAGAGGTCAACTTCACTTTTGTCCATGAAACCTATTGTTAAGAAATTTTTGAAGGCCCATGTGCATCCAAGAACTTTTTGTGCTATTTTTTCACATGCGAAAATTCACCTCTTTGATTTGGAGCCAATTAAAAAGCAACTTTCAAAAAGAGATGTCTTGTAAAATCAAAGAAAATATCGCAAAGGTTGTCGGATGCACGTCATTAAGTTGATTTTCGAATAAACTTGAAGTTGAAGTTTATAGTAACATACATAATTTTCATCACGGCTGTCATCAACATTTTAAGATCATCATTATTACATCATTACCTCCACCAGGTGGCTGAACAATTGTGTCCAGGAATTCTGGCGATGTTTTGGGCCAAACCTTCATAATAATGGCTCTCATCTCTTCATTTGCCTTTTCCAAAGAACCCTTGCCTAGAAAATAGACACGGTAGTCTATTTTTGATAGACCATGACGAAGAATGTAAGATGAGTATGAATGTCATCAAATAGAATCGTGTGGTTGAGTGGTGAGGCAGTGCCATATATGAGATGACATAGTGCGTGCTTATAGTGAATATGGTGAGTCTATTTGGACGGGGGTTTGGAGGAGAGTCTGGAGGAGATTACTCTGTGCGAACGACACTCGTGAATTAGAGTCGAAAGGTTTGGTTGACATATCAGAGCATTATTATACGTTTCTGCCTTGAAGTTCGGAAAGAGAAAAGAGCAACCATTTTGTGGCTCAATTACTAATAATAAAGGAAAGGCTCAAAAAAAGTTGACTACTGTTGATAATGAATTTTTTCGATATGGCAACATTCACCATCAAAAAACAGATACTGTCTTTGATATTAAACTTTTTCAAGGCTGGCTTAGTTGGTTTGCCAGGTTCTTTTAATCGGAAATTGGTGAAATATTGTATCGATACCTATGGCAAACTTCGCTATCGAGCATTCGAGCATTCGAGCATTTTTTTCGATAATTTTTTTAAATAGCAGAATATCAAGCACATATTATCATATTGAGTGACGTTGACCACCGGAACTTGGGCGATCTACATGCTATCATTGATTTTCTGGACGAATCTGATCCTTTCTCTCAACTCAATAAGCCATCAACACTTCGAGTTCACCCGGACCATGCTTTATTACATATTAATATATGAGTAGTTGGTTTGTATACAGAATGTAGTACTACTTAACCGTTCAAACAGAGATACAAATCTGATGCGCTCACAGAAATAGCCCCAGATCGACCATTAATGAACAACGTTGATGAACGCCAAGGGCGGATCCAGGAAGGAGGACTATTGGGGTGGCTTTTTAATATATATATTTTTTAAAATATAGAAATAGAAATTATAAGTTAATTCAGTAAACGAAGGGGAAAAAACATCTGAAATGGACCCATTCTGAAAAACAGATGTAGTATCCTGAAACAGCCAGTGACCACATTGATTGAAGTAGCAATATTCTGTGCATTTACCTTTATGAATGAAGTTTACTCTTAAAAGTTAAGGAGTGAAAACAGCATGCAGGTCGAGTTATRATGTAAKTAATGGGTCATTATCAGCGTAATGTTTTGAATGTAGATACCTTCGGGTCTYTTGATGTTCAGTGAAGTTCGAACCAAACCAAATAAGGTCGCGTTGAAATTTACCGTGCCGTCCCTGTTCAATGGCATGTTCATACTAACAAGACGCTATATAAAAGAGAACAAAAAACATGAAGCACAAAAAAAGTATTTAACACCATGGCTCTAAATTTAGTTTAGCTAACCTTGCAGGCCTCTCTATGGGGGCAGAATTTCCCAAATCCAAGAGGAGGAGCTATTCTTTTGAGTACTGTCACGATATCCAAGTGTTTTACACAACCACTGAAATATAAGGGAAAGCACAMATAAGTTCTGCATTTTGGAGTGGAGTCTATTCGAGCAGGCATGGTACTTATAAATTTTATTTTATTTTGTATCTTATTTGGTAAAATAAAAGATTTGATTATTGAGGTATCGCTCTCGATTTAGATTGAGAATTTGAACATGAAATTGCAATGCCCTGGTTCTTCTTTTTCACTTCCTAAGAAATCCCCATAATGCATACCTCGCTTCTGGATCGTACTCCGACCACACCCTGACAAATTCATCTAGATGATGAGGACCAAGGATTGACCAATCTCGTGTAAGATAGTCAAAATTATCCATAATAACGGCTACGAACAAGTTAATAATCTGAAAGAAAATAAACATTCCATTACAACAAGCGCTACATAAAAATGCAGGGTACAAGTTCTCAGTACGGGTAGTGTGTCCCCTAACCCGCCAACTGCGCACAGATAAATCACGACATATAGCACTAA